TCGACTTTTCGGGGAAGCAGATTTTCAATTTTGGGGAAATATTACCTAATTGGCGCGAAGTAGATTATCATAGAAAACGGAAAATTCTGTATCATAAAAATGGGGAAATATCTACTTTCCGGAAAGCAGATTATAGGATTTTGGGAAGTAGATTGAATTCTGGGGCAAATATTACCTAATTTGAAGTAGATTATCATAGGAAAACGGGAAATTTGTATCATAAAAATGGAAATATCTATTTCTCCCGAAAGTTGGTTACTTTCCCTGAAAAGCAGATAGATTTTCTACTTTCGAAAGTAGAGATTATCGACTTTTTCGGGGAAGCAGATTTTCAAATTCTGGGGAAATATTACCTAATTTTACAAGTAGATTATCATAGAAAAACGGAAATTTGTAGCATCATAAAAATGGGGAAATATCTACTTCGAAAGTTGGTTGAGTTCATTTCCTGAAAAAGTGATAGATTTTTCACTTTTCAAGTAGATTATTTACCATTTCGGGAAGTAGATTTTAAATTCTGGGGGAAATATTACCTAATTTTGCGAAGTAGAACATCGTAGAAAACGAAATTTGCATCATTAAAATGGGAAATATCTACTTTCCGGGAAAGTAGATTATAGACTTTTCGTGAAGTAGATTTTCGAATTCTGGGGGTTAAATATTACCTAATTTTGCGAAGTAGATTATCATAGAAAGCGAAATTTGTATCATAAAAATGGGAAATATCTACTTTCGGGAAAGTTGGTTATCTACTTTCCGAAAAATGATAGATTCTTCTCGGGAAAGTAGATTATCGACTTTTCGGGGAAATAGTACCTAATTTTGCAAGTAGATTATCATAGAAAACGGAAATTTGTATCATAAAAATGGAAATCTACTTTCCGGAAAGTTGGTTATCTACTTTCAAAATTAGATAGATTTCTACTTTTGGGAAAGTAGATTATCGACTTTCGAAATGGAATACATTCACCATTGGGGAAATATTACCTAATTTTGCGAAATAGATTATCATAGAAAACAGAAATTTGTATCATAAAATAGGAAATATCTACTTTCAGGAAAGTTGGTTATCTACTTTCCCGAAAAGTAGATAGATTTTCTACTTTTCAGAAAGTAGATTATCGACTTTTCGGGGAAGTAGATTTTCCAATTCTGGGAAATATTACCTAATTTTTCGAAGTAGATTATCACGAAAAACGGGAATTTGTATCATAAAAATGGAAATATCTACTTTCGGGAAAGTAGATTATAGACTTTTCAGAATATATTTCGAATTCTGGGTAAATATTACTAATTTTGCAAGTAGATTATCATAGAAAACGGTTATCATAAAATGGAAATATCTACTTGGAAGTAGTTATCCATTTCAAGTAGATTTTTCGAATTCTGGGGTAAATATTACTATTTTTGAAGTAGATTATCGCAAAACAGGAAATTTATATCATAAAAAATGGGAAATATCTACTTTCCGGGAAAGTTGGTTATCTACTTTCGAAAGCAGATTGTACATTTTCAGGAAAGTAGATTATCGACTTTGGGAAGTTGATTTTGAATTCTGAAATATTACCTAATTTTGCGAAGTAGATTATCATAGAAAACGGAAATTTGTATCATAAAAAATGGGAAATATATCACTTTCCGGGAAAGTTGGTTATCTACTTTCCCGAAAGGTAGATAGATTTTCTATTTTTGGAAAATGAATTATCGACTTAAGTAGATTTCTGAATTCTGGAAATATTACCTAATTTTGCGAAGTAGATTATCATAGAAAACAGGAAATTTGTATCATAAAAATGATATCACTTAAAGTAGATTATAGATTTCGGAAGTATATTTTCGAATTCTGGGGTAAATATTACCTAATTTTGCGAAGTAGATTATCATAAACGGGAAATTTGTATCATAAAATGGAAATATCTACTTTCCGGGAAGTAGATTATCGACTTTCGGGGAAGTAGATTTTCGAATTCTGGTAAAATATTACCTAATTTGATAGATTATCATAAACAGAAATTTGTATCATAAAAAATGGGAAATCTACTTTCCAGAAGTTATCTACTAAATTTTCTATTTGAAAGTAGATTATCGACTTTTGGGGAAGTTGATTTTCGAATTCTGGAAATATTACCTAATTTTGCAGTAGATTATCATAGAAAACGAAATTTGTATCATAAAAATGGGAAATATCTACTTTCCGGGAAAAGTTGGTTATCTACTCGAAAAGTAGATGAATTTTCTATTTTCGGGAAAATGAATTATCGACTTTTCAGGAAATAGAATTTTTGGTAGAAATGCGAAGTAGATTATCATAGAAAACGGGAAATTTGTATCATAAAAAATGGGAAATATCTACTTTCCGGGAAAGTTGGTTATCTACTTTCCCGAAAAGTAGATAGATTTTCTACTTTTCGGGAAAGTAGATTATCGACTTTTCGGGGAAGTAGATATAAAATTAACCTAAGTAACTAAGAACAACAATAAGATAATAGTAAAAATAACAAGTTATTAATAGCTTGTGTGGAGTGGAGGCGTAAACAGATACCACACGACATGCTTGTTGCTATGGGGTTATGAGCACATGACACCGACATCCACAGAGAAATGGTGGGCACCGCGGGCAAGGCGTGTGTTACGAGCCCACGGCCTTGCCGGCGGTACACAGGATGCCAAATCCACCGAAAATTGCCGGTTAAAATACCTGTAAAAGAGAGAGAGAGTGAAGCAACATTGTTGCGAAGAGAAAGGACAAGAGTCAACAAGGCGAAATGCCTTTGATTCCACCCTGTCTAACAGTTGGACAGAAGAAGAGCCACCCAAGATATGAGAGCATTACTCCAAGTTAGGACGAATGAATCCCTTGTAAACTTGAAGCAACTGCTCAAGAGGGAAGTAGCTACGGCATCTGTACAGCATTCCTAGCTTTCGGGAGCCAGATTTAGCAATGTTGAGGATGTGTTGCTTCCATGACATGTTAGTGGAAATGGTGAGGCCTAGCATATCTCTTTTAGAATTTGGCAGAAGGATAGCGTCCTGAAATGTGTTTGGTGGGAGATCATCTAATTTGGAAAGTGTAATTGGTAAATGCTGAACTTTATTACTACTGATCCTCACTGATAGATGTAATGATATCAGCTCTAGAAACAGATCTAGTTTGAGAGTTAGGGGGAAGGGGAAAATGTGATGAAGAGTGAAGAGTAGAATCATCAGCGTAGGAATGGATAGAATTATTTGTAGTGTGAAGTAAATCATTGATAAAAAGAAGGAAGAGAGTAGGTGAAACAACAGAACCCTGTGGGACACCACTATTGGCAGAGAAAGAGCGATCCCTCGACAACAACTGCCATGAATCGGTTATCAAGGAAGCTAGAGATTAGAGAACAAAATGGGGGAGAAAAACCATAAGAGGGAAGTTTAGAAAGCAAAGACTTGTGCCATACACTGCCAAATGCTTTGGAAATGTCGAGGGCCACGACGAAACTTTCCCCATAATCCCTAAGAGAAGAGGACCACAGATGGGTGCAGTAGGAGAGCAGATCACCAGTAGATCTCGCCTGGCGAAAGTCATACTGGTGATCCGATAAAAGAGAATGCCGTTCAAGGTGACGGAGAAAATGGGAGTTTAAACAAGTTTCGAAAATCTTAGAGAAGGATGAAGTTAAGGCAATAGGGCGATAGTTAGAGGGATTAGAATGGTCACCCTTCTTCAGGATGGGCTGAACCAAGGCTTGCTTCAAAGAAGAAGTAAAAGTTTGGGTTTTGAGGCAAAGGCGAAAGCGGCGAGCAAGCACAGGGGCCAGAAATTTTAGCACACTCCCTCAGAGAGGAGTAATGGATTCTTCCCCAATAATGCCTCCAGCAAAAAGATGGAGGAATCGTTGTCAGTTTAATAGAATCAGACTACAACACTGTTATCATGACCCCAGAATGAAAGAACTTAAATCTATAACCAGGCAAACTGGTGAGGGTTACAAACACCTCAGAACATCTTTAATACTAAAACTTTTTTCAAGCTTCCCTCGCTGTAGTCGGGGAAAGCGTACATGAACATAAACTATTTTGCATGGGAAACACTTTCAACAGCCTGAACTAACACACGCCCCTCAACAAAGCCTGGATAGACATACAGTGAACACAACCAGAGGTAAAAAAAAAAAGTAAGCACATCTCCCATCTAAATCCCTTCAATAACCAAATGAGTTAATGACAAAGTGAGTTCATGTCTCTATCAAAACATGTTACCAACTACGACAAGAGTGTAATCCCATATATATATATATATATATATATATATATATATATATATATATATATATATATATATATATATATATATATATATATATATATATATATATATATATGTATACTGAGTGGGAGTCTGACGCCACCCTCGACATTTTTTCAAATAACTCCACATTCAAAGCCATGGTAGAGTGTACTGGCACATACTGTAATGGTGTCTCGAACTGGTGGCAACTAAAAGGGTGGCCGAAGTGAGTCTTGCCCACTGGACTAAACACTATTCACTCACTCCTTGGGAGTGCTACCATTTACCGTACTTTTTGATCACTCCTCACACACACACACACACACACACACACACACACACACACACACACTGTAATTGACTAAAGATATGCTACAAAAAAGGCAGTGGGAAGATTTGCTGTACCTGAGGAAGTGTGTTGGCCTTCTTGGCATTGATGGTGCCCACCTCCACCTGTGTGGGCAACAGTGGCATAGGTCCGTCCACGGCGTAGTGGCTGTTGATGAGGGTCAGGGAGCTGTTCCAGTAGAGTGTGGTAAGTGGAGGCAAATTGGGGAAGAACTTCTGCAGTAGCTCCTGGAAGCGAGGGATCACATTATACTGGTAACTAAGGTAAGGCCACAGGGTGAGTAGTGGGTTAAGAACTCTCTCCATGAAGGTCATGTCATGGGTGAATGTCGTCCTTATCCCTGGCAAGACGGACATGGGCAGCCAGTTGCCTTGCTGCTTCATGTGCAAGAGTTCTACCCCAGGAGTGCATAAATTGATGTGCACACCTTTGTAATCCAGGAGAAATGGTACAGCCACCTCATTGACATAGCCAATAATTACTATAGCCTGGTAACTGTCCCTATGTTGCCAGAGTCGTTGTATTGCCTCGTTAGACTACATCCTCCTGCCGGTTTCTGCAGCAATTTCCAGAATTTTCTTTTGAAACAATGCAACGTTGGGTCCCAACACAAACAAATTAAACTCCAACGAGTCGGCGCCGGTGTGGACTTCCGTTACATTTTCGTGTCTGAGAATAACAGTCAAAAGAAAGCAGAGGTCAGTCATGCAAGAAATAATGCTTCACGATGTTTTAATTTAAGTTAATGGAGTATGAATATCATGAGAGACTGTCTTAAATAATATAAACGGTAGAAGAAGAGACTGTTCTTAACTGATCCTCATTATTCATGTGAAATTCCCTCCCCTCTCATGTTATTCCATCTACCCATAACTTACATCTCGTTTAATGTATTACACTTACCCACCTCTTATCAGTAACAATGTACTTCAGATAACATTATAACATATGTACAGTTGCCACCATTTATACCTGGTACAATGGATGGCATGTTTTGTGAGATGTGGCACCACTGTTTGTTTACATTATAATAAAACTAGCAGAATCGGCCGAACCATATGGCCATTTTATGGATGGCTATAGCTTTAATATACATTACCAAGTAGAACGTTATGGGCTCCTACCTGTTGTCTGGTCGGCGGTGGTACCACATCTCACAAAACACGCCAGCTACTGTACCAGTTATAAATGGAGGCAACTGCACCTTACTTTGCCTATCATAACATAAATAAAGACCTTCAAAACAGCTCAATCAATCTAAGGTCTTAGCTTGTTACATAAATCATTCAATCAGAGCACCGTCCTTATATCTGAGGGTTGGCGACAACAGTCCTTCTCTCTAAATTTTCCCGTGCTGTGTTTACCAATCCTCTAAGGTTTTGTATCTCTCTGGGGACCCAGTTTTTAATTTCATTCATCCATCCCAGTCTCTACCTATCCCCAGGCTCGCCTACCCTCAATTTTGCCCATTAGTGTTTCGGTTATTATCCCTTCATCTCTAATTATTTAACCAAAGTAATGTATTCCATTTATCATTTTTTGTATATTTCAAGTATTTCTTTTAATTTTTTTTTTATAATCTTGATATTTCTTCGTTTGTCTTTGTGTCAATGTTGCATATTCTTAGCAATAAAATTCTGCAGTTTTTTTATATTAATTACTAAACTCCTTTTGTTATTACAATAACTGGCATAAAATGTTAGAAATATAGAACGAATCAGAACCAATTTTAGAAATATGTAGCAATATACAAAACTTTACGTCGACTTGTACAGAATAATATTGACCACAAGTAAGCCGGTGGTTAACGTTCTGTTGGGAGAAAACAAACCATTCGTCTCTTCTTTTAATGTGTAATTTAATGCTCGGATGGCAAGCTCACTGGTTCTTTCCTACTAAAAACAATACATATTTAAGAAATGATTTGTTTTATACAGAAGAGAACGAGGAGCAAGAGGCTAATTCACTAATCCATCCTTTCAAAGTTCAGTGGCAGATAAGTTACATTCGTTGGTGATGTTAGCAGCGCCAAAGTTTGTAAGCAATTAACAGGTTTCCGTTATTGTAAACACACAACTATAATAAATTTTAAAATCCTTTTTTTAGGAAGTTTTATGCCAGCAATAAGAAATAGTATTTAGTGATTGATTATAAAGATAGTGGTATTATTGGCAATATCCCGGCGTGGTTACTGTAAACATTTACATAAAGGAATGTTAAGATCTCCAACACTTACCTGGACGATGCATCAAAGGAGGACAGAGTGGCCAGCGTCACCCAGAGCCTCTGAGAGTGAGCGACACAGATTATAGATGCTGCGGGAGGCTACTGGAGTGAGCACCAGCACCTGGTAGCCGGCTGCCGGGCCAGACGTCACCACCAGCAGTAGGAACAACACACTACACCTCCTCATACTGACTCCCACAGTGGTATTACACACACTCTACCGTCCCTGTAGGTGAAGATACAGTCATGGACTGTTAAGGCGTTTATTGTAAGACGTTTTAAGAATCACGGAATAGCTATCGCGTTAACTTTCCCGGACTGTCATTAAAAAATGCGACATTGTACTGCGTCTTGGGAATAACTGTTGTACAACACAGATTTTATAAAACAATAAAATTAGGAGAACTGTTATTTGGACACAATAAGGAAAGAAATAGTGAAGAAAATATATAGAAAATTATGGAAAGAAAGACAAAAGGGGGAAAAACAGGTCATTCAGTCAACAATAAATAAGAATAACACAAAAAATCGGGCCCGTTGTAAGGGTTGATGGTCCGGACTCCGGGGTGGGGAGCTTTAAAACCACACTACGTATGGTCTCGTCTCGTCTCCCTGCTACATTGTTTACAGCTGTTCGCATACATAAATACGCAATACTACGAATTTCAGGTTCGTTTTAGGTATTAATTTTTGCATTTACAGAACGTTAATGAACTTGTTCACCATTATTTAAAGTATCTTATGAGTAATGATGTTAAAGTTTTAATCATATTCGAGTAATTCGCAATATTTTACACAACATTCACCAGCGACTCATGAACCGTACAGCACCTACCTAAAAATGGGCGGAGGCAAAACTGGTTTCAACTAGGCGAAATCCTTTTCAATTCGTTCACGCCATGCGCTTTGCTTTAGGTCCTATCCAATATACTAATTACTACCGTATATAGAATTATTTTTATAATTATATCAGAGTTTTTTATTGTCTTACATGCCCACCAAAATATTCTCCATAAGCGGCCATGATCCACATATTTACACAGTGTGTACGTGGGAGAAACTCGCTCATTGGTTGTTAGCTATTCGGAACGCTTGGTCGCTGATCAAGGCTAACGCCTGATCGAGGTGTTAGCTCTTCCCTCTGAATGTTCCATGGGCACAGCTCAAAAGCTGTGTCTGTTCATACAGAATAGCTAACGCGTTAGCTATTCCGTAAATCGAAAACGCCTTTAGTTACACTTATACAGTTATAATTATACAGATATAGTCACTGAGGGACCCCAGCCATCTCGGCCAAGCGGGAAGGCACTACACCAGGCAGGTTCACGTAGACACTGTTGTCAACACCCAACCCCTATCGCTCATATATATGATGATGATAATGAAATAAAGTGGCAAATGACTTTGCACTAGGAAATGGGTGGAGAGAGAAGTAAAGCATAGAAACGGGAAGTATAGTAGGAGGGGGAGATAGCAGGTGGGCTGTCCACCTAGGTGAGACGATTTGATATGTTGGGGTGGTGGCCGCGTGCAGCAGACGTCTGCCCACTCAAGGGAGGCAGGTGTTTGCTAGATGGTGGTGTTATTTGTTCACATATATGTGTAAAGTAGGTCTTGTTCTTCTATGTTAGCATGGAGGCTCTTGGGCCACCAGTTGTGTGTTTTAGTAGTTCCTTCTTCTTTTAACTGGGAGAATAATGGGTCCTCCAACTCCTCAAGTTTGCTCCATATTCTCTGTGCTTGGCTGTGTGTACGTGTGTTCAGTTGTTCGATATTGTATAATTTGTGAAGTTCTTGTATTTTTGTGGTGTATGGCGGGAGTTGTTTTGATGCTCTACGGATAGCTTTGTTTTGTAAAAATTGAAGTTTAAGTTGGCTGGTTTTGCTGATCGTGCTAAGCTGTATTGGAGGATATTCTAGGTGGGGGCGGACAAGTGCTTTGAATAGATGTAGTTGAATTTTGGTGTCCATTTTGCTAAATCTTCGTTGTTTCGTGAGTTGTGATTGGGCAAGCTTTTTGCTTTGTGTTGTGTGTTTTGCTGTGCCTGTTCTTGTTATTGTGAGTCCCAGAATTTTGCCTTCGTTGTATAGGTACTATCGTGCACAAAAGTCGTGTCCACTACCCAGCCACAGTGAGGTTTCGCATAGCCTTGAGTCTGAAGTTTCGAAACAGCTGGGTGAAATGCTATGGTCGGCCAACATAAGTCGCCCACTGTAGTGTGTGTTGGGGGGTGGGGGGGGGGGCTGGATGAGAGGCAGGTTTATTTATTATTTATACCACCATAATTTCAAGCTGCCTTTTTAACTACGTTTTGTCTTACAGTTGTTTCTTTATGGTTACGAATTCGTGGAACAGGTACAGTGCCCTGGGTGCTTATTGTCGCTCAGGTTACAATGATACTTTAAAGAATGGAATATATTAAGGATAAAAGTGAAATATGCAAGGATCAGGGTGAAGGGCCTTGGTCAGCTAGTTTTACTCAGGGACCATGTCACAATTTTGTTGTTATTCCGACAAAGAGATTATGGTAATATTTATTTATATTCCACTCATCCTTTGCTTAATAAATATTTGTAATAATATGCAATATTATATAATTATATACTTATGTTAAAAAGAGTGGAGTGAAAAAGTTATCAGTATTGTAAAATAGTATTCAGACTTAATCTAGTTCCAATTCTTCCAAGTTCCAGTGTTTAAACACGCCACCACAATATGCAAGCTTCATATATTTTGGAGTGTGCTCAGTTTCCGTTAATATTGTGTGCTGAACATCATGAGCATTTCAATGATGGCAGCAATTGTAACTATATAATTATATTGTGTTATAAGATAAGACATTCCACGACGTGTCATACAGATCATTGTATCCACACAATACATAATTTGTGGCTGTTAAGTTACTTTGTTATGAATTTTCATGCGATATAGTTTAAGACATTAAGGACATGGATTTAAGATAACACTGTAGGTGAGTTAATATATATTAATTGTATTTACAAACAATACTAAAATCCAAACAATACACCAATACACACATCTTAGTATTTGGTCCAGCCATCCATTGCATTCGGGACTTCATCAAGGCGATTAGGGATGGAGTCGACCAGCTTCGGGCACACCCCTGGTCGTCGATGTACACACTCCCACACGTCGTAAGCTTTGGCCTCTATTGCTGCACAGGTTCGCTGCTCCCTAATATCCCAATCACGTTTCATCATGGCCCAAATATGTTCAATCGGATTAATATCACATCCGAGTGTTGACCAGTCTATGACCTCAATTTCAGGGTGATCCTGGAGGTAGTCCTTCACTATGTTGCTGGTATGAATGGGACTGTTGTCATGAACCAGCCTGATAGTGTGGGGGGCTGGAACTGCCATAGGAATTGGCACTTGCAACAGGATGTCTACATACTGCTCACCAGTGAAACGGCCATTGATCTTGACAGGTTCACCTGGCCCATGTGCCCACATCCACCCCCAGAATGACACTGACACCCTACCACTCACTGCGCAATGTTGAATGTGTTTCTCATGGTAGCGTGTGATGGGAGGCTGCCCCACTGCCTTGCTTCGGCTCCCACTGACCTGAACACCGTTTCATCGGTAAATATAATGGTTCTCCAGTATTCTTCTATATGTGGAAGGTGTTCCAATGCAAAGCCGAGTCGACACTCCTTGTGAGTAGGTGTTAGCCACCCTTTGTGAGCTGAAATATGGCAGTCGATCCCGGCTTCATGAAGTTGGCACCTCACGCCTAAAGTAAACCGAAAAATGCTTACGTGTATAGAAGATTTTCAACTCAATATCACATATTCTTTCACCTCTACAAATATCTGCTGTCACTCATGGGACACCCTGCAATAGTATAAAGACGACATGGGCTATGGTGACAAATTAATGTGACTTACCTGTTGGTGACGACGATGGTAGGAATGAGACCTCGGCATGTTTCAGTGTTCGATATCACCTCCTTCCCCTGGTGTGGGTGGCGCCAACCTTGGTAACATCTTGTGTATTCTCCGTGACTACCATTACTGGTAGTCTCGGAGAATTCACGATGTTATGCTCCACCTACACACAGCCTGTTACTAGACTAACCCCCACCTCCTCTATCCCCCCCCCTCCCACACACACTACAGTGGGCGACATCTGTTGGCCGACCATAGCATTTCCCCCAGCTGTTTCGAAACTTCAGATTCAAGGCTATCCGAAACCTCACTCTAGCTGGGTAGTGGACACGACTTTTGTTCACGATAGTACGTTGTTGACTGTGATTGGTGCTGGGTTTATTTTGGCAATGTATATGATCTTTAGTTTTTGTGTGTTGGTTTGTATTTTCCACTTTTTTCATATTCGTTAAATTGCTCAATAGCGTGGGCTGTTTTCCATCCAACCTATTTTTGAAGCTATCCAGCGTACACTTCCGCCTATCGCTCACATTGTTGTTATTACAACCAGCTTCCAATTATCTATACGTATTTCATGCATTCAAATTATCTACGTCATATTGTACTCTGCATCAGTCGTGTCTTATTCTCTCTATATACAGCAATATTCCAAGTCAGCTGCTCATCCTTCACAGTCACCTGCAGTACTGTGCATAATATTCTAATTATTATGTACTGTGCTACATATTTTAATATATTGTATTAAACCAATGACTTTTACCAATTAAATAATTTAATATTATACCGTATAATCATAAGTTAACCACGCGTGATTGGCTCTTGGTGTGTAAACCATCATTTATCAGTAATAACAGTGAGTTATGAAACTGCAGGTAATATTTTATCTTGTTTTTCTGTTCTTCAACACTTGACATCTTGAAGGACGTCAAGGTTTATCATTTCACACAGTAGACAAGGTACGAGGGGCGGGGCCTAAGATTTAAATGTGGCCATGCCTTCTCAGTCAATTATGACTAATGGTATTAAAATCTTTCAATAGTGATTTATTAAAGTTTAGTCTACTCGTCTAATATAAATCATCCACCAATTAATCGTGTTTTTTGTCTTTCTTTCGAAGAGATAAATTATTTTGATCTTGAGTTCTATTCAAGGTCGGACAGCGTCACCTACACTCCTGTTATTGTCAGTCACACCATCAACGAGCCATAAGCTCGTTGAACATGCTTTGTGTGAAGTATAACAGAGTCTAGGACTGCTTTTAGTGTCCTGGTGGCCCAGAGGTAGCGTTCCCCGGTCACAATTATAAGATTGTGGGTTGGAATCCTGGCGGGGTGAGGTGTTGAATATATATATATATTCATTAGCCCATAAAGCGCTCGGACTTCTACATATAATCAACAACCTCACCCCGCCAGGACTCGAACCCACGATCTTATGTGTGTGACCGGGGAACGTTACCATTAGGACACTAAAAGTAGTCCTTTGTGTGAAATATAACAAAGTCTAGTACTGCTTTTAGTGTCCTAGTGGTCTACAGGTAACGTTCCGTAGTCACATATGTAAGATCGTGGGTTCGAGTCCTGTCAGGGTGAGGTTGTTGATTATATGTAGAAGTCCGAGCGCTTTATGGGCTAATGAAATATATATGGAACCTCGTGTTTCGAAACCAGATTTGGTAAAGCGTTACTCTGATCACTTACGAGGCACAGGTAGTCCCCTATTGGAGGTTCACGGCGCCATAAGCTCGATGAACAGGCTTTGTGTGAAATATAACAAAGTCTAGGACTACCTTTAGTATCCTAGTGGTCTAGAGGTAACGTTCCACGGTCACACACATAAGTAAATCACTGTAGGAAAGGTCACGGCAGGCTTAGCTCCCGGGGATTAATTGTCAGTAATGGCTAGTGCTACTTGTGAACAGGGCTGTGCCCTTCTGAGGGCAGAGTTACAGAGGACCAATGAAGAAAACTTGAAACTAAAGGAAGAGGTAGCGAGGATGAAGGAGGAAACGAGACAAGGAAAGCCCTTGTCTGACGAAAACTCAGGCGAATGGAAGGTTGTGAGGAGAGGGACGACCAAACTGGAGGTGAAAAAACGCACTAACGTTACGGCAACAACAGCTAAGTGTACCACCTCTTTCAGTCCTCTGATAGACGAATTGGACGTTAGCATAATCAGGGACAAGGCTGACAAGGAAGGTACGAAAACCTTAATTGTTGGCGATTCCCAGGTACTGTACCTAGACAGAGCTTTTTGTGGTAAAAATAAAAATAGGATGAGGGTGTGTTTGCCAGGAGCTGGGGTGGGGGATATAGTTGACAGGATGGACAATATCTTGTCTGGTAATGGGAACAAACCCATTATCTGCCTCAGTGCAGGAGGCAATGATATTGGCCGGTGTAAGAGTGAGGAGCACCTTGATAAGTTCAAGGCAGCTAAAGAACGTATTAGGTCGAAGGGAGGGATTCCAATCATATGTGGTGTCCTGTCTAGAAGGAGAGATGGCAATGAATGGGTGTCAAGGGCTGTCGGACATTTGAAAATCCGAGTTGGCAACTATGGGGTGTCAGTGCCGTTCAATAGCCTGAGGAGTGAGGACGCTCCATTCACTGCTTCCACTATCAGCAAACATTCTCCAGAACGTGAGTAGACACAGAGCTGTACACATAAGCTTAACATAGAGACAAATGGTTTATATTATGGAGTTATATAGACAGACTGACCGGGGCGAGGGGGACTATATAGCTTAAAGTATTATTAATGTTATAAGTTATTCACTAAACCTTAACGATACTAAACTAAAGTGAGTTTCACACGAGAACAACACAACATGACTCGGGCTGTGGACGATGTTATGTAGTGGTTTATTGCCTTAGTTGCTCACCCTTTGGCTTTAACATAATCTTCAGGTCCCCAGATCTGTCAACTCTGACGATGTTTTCTTCTACCTAAACACTGTCCTGCGTCAGTCTCATGATGTTTACTTCTACCTAAACACTGTCTTGGGTCAGAGTCGTAAAGATTCTTATGTTAAATTTGACTCAAACACTTTGAACTCTCACCGAAGCTCCCACTAAAAGAAGGATGGGTAAAAGGATAAAATAAAATTAATTGAATGGAAACGTGGACAAGATTAGTGGATCCCATGTTATTGACCTGACCTGATTTTTTGTAAGGTCACCCTCTGTATATAAGCATCTCTCAGTCCCTGTAAATTCAGTTGCCTCTGAAGATGTCTTGAATAAAGACGAAAGCTAAGATGCTTTATTGTTTAAATTTTCTTGTGATTATCAGCATATACTTGGATCACGCGCTCCTAACATAAGAACTTAAGAACATAAGAATGGAGGAAACTGCAGCGGGCCTATTGACCCACATTGGGCAGTCCCATTTACACCCAACCCCTATTGCTCATATATATCCATGTAACCTATGTTTGAAGCTATCCAGCGTATTCGAGTTAATGATGATATTTGGTAACTTGTTCCACTCATCCACTACTCTATTTCCAAACCAATGTTTGCCTATTTCACGCCTAAATCTAAATTTGTCTAATTTAAAACCATTGTTACGAATTCGCTCCTGGTTGGATAGTTTGAGTGCCTTTGTAATGTCCCCTTTGTTCAGCCACGACTTCCATTTATACACCTCGATCATATCGCCCCTCACTCTACGTCTCTCGAGGGGGTGCAAATTAAGATGCTTTAACCTGTCTCTGTACTCAGGCTCCTAATGCCCAGGATTAGTGTTGTCATTCTCCTCTGAATTCTTTCCAGGGATTCTATATCCATTCTGTAATACAGTGACCAGAATTAAACTGCATAATCCAAGTGGGGTCCCACAAGCGCAAGATATAGTTTTAAGATGACCTCGCTAGTCTTGTAACTAACACTCCTTTTTATGAACCCAAATACACATTGTTTACTTGGCTTAAGATTCCTACTTATCATTACTCCTAAATCTTTCTCACAGTCGGATTTCTCAATAACATCGTTGTTCATCTGGTATCTGGTTTCCCTGTTTACAACTCCTATACTGAGTACTTTACATTTGTCCACATTGAATTTCATCTGCCATTTTTCAGACCATTCGAAAAATTTGTTTAGATCTTCCTGTAGTTTTGCGGAGTCATCGTCAGATTTAATTACACGCCCTACTTTAATGTTATCAGCAAATTTACTTATGTTGCTGTCTACGCCGATATCTGTCCTTTATATATATAATAAATAATAATGGTCCGAGTACTGAGCCTTGGGGAACTCCACTAGTGACGTTGCTCCAATGGGATTTAGTGCCGTTAATGCTCACTCGCTGTTTCCTGTCCTGTATCCACGCCCTAATCCCTTTTAGAATTTCTCCTTTAATGCCATGAGCTCCCTCCTCCTAGTCACAGGCCTGGCATTTGACATTATTAGGGACCTGCCACTCTTTGCCATAAACAGATAAAATGTACCGGGAACTTTCCCCCACACTCTCATCATTCTCTCACTTTATGTAACTTGACAAAACCTATGACCCTTCAGGCTTTTACGCCCTTAATGTACGAGTCATAAAGGCAAGTATGAACTTTTCATACTTCCCTGTTGGGCGCTGTAAACGCTTCTGCGCTTCACCTTGCATAGGATGTAAGGGGGTGCCCAATAAACTAGCCCCCTCGGGGGCAAATCTGAATCTGAATGCCATGAGCCTCCACTTTTCTTATTAGTCTTCCATGGGGAACTCTGTCGAATGCTTTGCTAAAGTCGAGATATACCACCTCATAATTGTACCCCTCATCCACTGATTCGAAAACAGATGAAAAGAATGTTAATGGATTAGTTAGACATGAACTCCTGCTTGTGAAGCCATGTTGGGAATCATTGATCAATTTGTGCTTCTCCAGGTGATTTCGAATAGAGTTTGAAATGATTGCTTCCAATAATTTGCCTACAATTGATGTTAGACTGATTGGTCGGTAGTTAGAGGATAGTGATCTATCTCCCTTCTTGAAAATCGGTATTATATTCGCTATCCTCCAGGATTCTGGTACTACACCCGTTTTTAAGGACATGTTAAACAACTTTGCTAAGGGCATACTAAGCTCTTCCTTACATTCCTTTAATACTCTGGCAAATATCTCATCGGGACCTGGTAACTTATTAGGCTTTAGTTTGTCTATTTGCTTACTAACATCGTTACTAGTCACTACTATCTCGCCTAATTTATTTTGTTCGCTATCTCTGTATAAAGTCGGTGCCACGGGTATCATATTTAAATATTCGGTGGTGAAAACTGTAGAAAAATATTTATTCAGATTATTGATCATTTCTCCGTCGTTATCAGTTAGCTCGTCGGTATCTGACTGTATTGGTCCAATCTTTTCTCGTGTTTTGATTTAAAACATTTGATAGAATCCCTTGGGGTTTGCCTTGCTTCCCTTGCTATCTTCAGTTCATTATTCCTCTTTGCTTTTCTTATCTCGGTCTTAACCCTACAGTCCAATACCTTATAATAATCTCAGAGGTAGACTTCACCACGATTTATTCTCCTACCTGTATGTATATTATGTATGCTGTATGTATATTATGTATGTTGTATGTATACTATGTATGTACTCCATTTATATACATTACTTATTTAGCTAGCAGCGTGTGGTTACAAATCTAATGAATTAAGAAGATTTGTAACCAAGTGAGAAGGTTGGGTCACCTTACCCTCTGACCTGACTACCAACCGTTGCGGTGCTATTTAAAGATTAGTAGGGTCATTACCTAATACCTGACCATTGTGGACCTGGTCTCACCCTCCTCTGTATATATACACCTTGTTTTGTATTTCTCTTTAGTCTGTACTCACCCCTGAAGATGTGAATTACTCGAAAGCGCTTGGGAACTTCGTGTTTTCTTCTTTCCTTGTGGTTATCAGCATATACCTAGATCACGCGCACCTACAGTGATTTACTTGCATATATATATATATATATATATATATATATATATATATATATATATATATATATATATATATATATATATATATATATACTGTATATATATATATATATGCCCCTTTTTCCGCGACAGTTGTTGTGTCGCTACGTGTTGATGGTGTGACTGACAATAACAGGAGTGTAGGTGACGCTCTCCGACCTTGAATAGAACTCAAGATGAGAATAATTTATCTCTTCGAAAGAAAGACAAAAAATACAATTAATTGGTGGATGATTTATATTAGACGAGTAGACTAAACTTTAGTAAATCACTATTGAAAGATTTTAATACTATTAGTCATAATTGACTGAGAAGGCGTGGCCACGTTTAAATCTTAAGCCCCGCCCCTCGTACCTTGTCTACTGTGTGAAATGATAAACCTTGACGTCCTTCAAGATGTCTAGTGTTGAAATACAGAAAAACAAGATAAAATATTACCTGCAGTTTCATAACTCACTGTTATGACTGATAAATGATGGCTTACACACCAAGAGCCAATCACGTGTGGTTAACGTAGGATAATACGGTATAATATTAAATTATTTCATTGGTAACAGTCATTGGTTTAATACAATATATTAAAATATGTAGCACAGTACATTACAAATAGAATATTATGTACAGTACTGCAGGTGACTGTGAAGGATGAGCAGCTGACTTGGAATATTGGTGTATATAGAGAAAATAAGACACGACTGATGCAGAGTACAATATGACGTAGATAATTTGAATACATTAAATACGTATAGATAATTGGAAGCTGGTTGTAATAACAACAATGTGAGCGATAGGCGGAAGTGTACGCTGGATAGCTTCAAAAATGGGTTGCACGGAAAACAGCCCACGCCATCGAGTAAATCAACGAATATGAAAAAAAGTGGAAAATACAAACCAACACACAGATACTAAAGATCTTATACATTTCCAAAATAAACCCAGCACCAATCACAGTCAACAACGTACCTATATAATACTCCAACGAAGGCAAAATTCTGGGACTCAGGCATTGCAAAACACATAACACAGCGCAAACAGCTTGCCCAATCACAACTCACGAAATATCGAAGATTTAGCAAAATGGACACCAAAATTCAACTACATCTATTCAAAGCATTTGTCCGCCCCCACAAATAGTATCCACCAATACAGCTTAGCACGATCAGCAAAACCAGCCAACTTAAACTTCAATTAGTACAAAACAAAGCTATCCGTAGAGCATCAAAACAACTCCCGCCATACACCACTAAAATACAAGAACTTCACGAATTATACAACATCGAACCACTGAACATACGTACACACAGCCAAGCACAGAGAATATGGAGCAAACTTGAGGAGTTGGAGGACCCATTATTCTCCCAGTTAAAAGAAGAAGGAACTACTAAAACACACAGCTGGTGGCCCAAGAGCCTCCATGCTGACATAGTAGAACAAGACCCACTTTACACATATATGTGAACAAATAACACCACCATCTAGCAAACATAAATTAACACCCATTACACTAATGAATACCTAGCTAGCTTACCTTCCCCCCCCTCCACCTGCCTCCCTTGAGTGGGCAGACGTCTGCTGCACGCGGCCACCACCCCAACATATCAAATCGTCTCACCTAGGTGGGCAGCCCACCTGCTATCTCTCCTTCCTACTATACTTCCCGTTTCTATGCTTTACTTCTCTCTCCACCCATTTCCTAGTGCAAAGTCATTTGCCACTTTACTTCATTATCATCATCATATATATGAGCGATAGGGGTTGGGTGTTGACAACAGTGTCACCAGACGTGTTTAATGGGACACACGAAGCATGATGTAGCTCCCCTTGGTGAACAACAATGTCAGCCGAGGTGTTTAATGGTGCACACGAAGCATGATATGGCCCCGCCTGTTGCAGCACTAACAAGTAAACACTTAAAGACACGAGACTGGATAAAACAACAAGAAAAACAACAAATACAAGCCAGAGTGAACGTGTTACCAGTGTCCGCCATTAGTTCTTTGTATAAAATTCGTTGCTTCCGATGGTGTTTGGGTGGCTCGGGCAGCTTTGCTCACTACTCACCCACACCAACTGAGCCCTTATTTAAGTATTAAATTTGTTTATCACATTGTAATAAGTTTTATTATATTATTATATTATATTAGGTTTGTATGTAGGTTAGATAAGTTGAACTAATGTTAATAGGTAGTAGAGAGGTGACGTCGGTGACTTACTGGTACACATTACACTCTAGTGACTAATCTAGTCAATCCAGGAACAGGTGTCATTAAGTTAAGTAGTATACCCTCCCTCTGGTGTTTTGGGATTTGGCATTTGACTAATGAGATTTGTTTTGCTTGATATTGATTTTGTGTGATCTTGTTGGACCTTCAGTCCTTACTCAGCCACTTCCAAACGTCTTGTCGTATTATTATTGTTATTTATTTTATTTTATGTACATATGTGGTGGTGGGAATACGTTAATAAATGCTCATATTTCTGTAGACGTGTTTAGGTTTTGAGCTGTTATAATTGAAAGACTTAAGTAATTTGTGCTTTGCAACCATCTACCCCCGGGTCTTAACAAACGTGACGCTGTATAACAACAACACCAAGTTTGGGCTGAGACGAGATTCACCAAATGTTTTGCCCCTTGTTGACGACAAACTGTATTGCATCAGTGACCGTATGAGGACTGGACACACCAATACTAGCAGGTCTGCTTAATGTTGGCCGGGAGGAAATACTTATAGGTAAAAAATTATTTTGTTAAAATTTTATTTATTAAAAAGGGTAATATTGAATCAAAGGCAAAGGCGAGGATATTGGGCGGTGTTGGTACTGTGCTGTGTTATGGATGTGTGTGTGTGTGTGTTTATGTATTATTTTTCTTCAATTGTTGAACAACTAGTGATTGACTGTATTTTTACTGAGCAAGGGCGGATCCAGGGGGGGGGGGGTCTAGACCCCACCCCTTACATCAGAAAATTCCAATACGTTTTCTTTAATGCAGTATTGCACTCAGGCGTTTTTGTATAGTAAAAAGTAATTACTAATGACCTCAGAATATCTCCTAATATCAAGTGCACATGGCTTCAAAATGCCCATGACATTGGTCAGATTTAAATTTTTTTTTGGGTCTAGTCATGTTCCCCACGCACAACTTCTTGGACTGGACCACCTCTTTTGATATTCCTGGATCCGCTCCTGCTAAGTGAATGGTTCCTGATACGAATACCGTCAGTAAATGGTTTCTGGGGACAGTGCCGGATTTAGACCTGTGGAGGCCCATGGGCAGCCTCTTTGTGGAGGCCTCCCTCATTATAACTACCCAAGAGGGTGGGGTGGCGAGTGAAGCGAGCCTAAACATCTGGGAGTTCCGGGGGGCGCTGTAAGCCCCCCTGGGAAAATTTTGAAATTTGAACACTTCTTTGGAGAATTTTGAAGCCATATGCAGTTATACTGAGGAAATTAGAACATTGAGAAATTTTTAATTAACTGTATATTTATTGATAGTGTACAAATTCCCAACACACACACACACAAAAGTGAGACATGACTGGAGTCATTCATGTGGTTTCAAGTCGACCAGCCCTGATATAGCTACTATCGCACATGTCAAAAATTTTCAAGAGACTTCACAGAAAAGAATATATTATTAGTTATTACAGAGAGATGATTCTTTGCATTATTAATCAGATAAACCTCCACTCAAATAATGGTTCTGTCCAAGAATGCATGCATAGGCTTCTTTAAGTCCAAGGTCAGATAGATTCAGAATAAGTATTAACTCAACTATAAATAAAATTGAAGGTTTGCATCCAATAGTAAAACAAATAAACACTTTAATGAATTTGATAAAATTATAACAAAAGTATGAACATGTTGGAAAAAACAAGAATTTTAATAAAAATAACTGCCATCAATCGACTCTCTCTCACTCGCACTCGCACTCTACATTTGCAAGACATGTTCTAGGAAATGACAACTGACAAGATCGTTCATCATTGAGAGGCGACGACTTCACTCAACAAGCACACATGACAATTCTCTCTCTCATTTTACATCTGCAAGACATGTTTATGTCTGCTCGTGGGAAGTTCACGAATCATGGGCGATGCAATTCTCCTCTTTAATCGACAGACACATGACAACCGATGTGCAGATACTACACGACCCATACCCCTCCGACCGACTGTCAACAAACACAGGGCCCTGATGGCATTCGTAATGGAAGTAATAATGAAAATAAATTATTGTTTTTTTTTTAATCTCAATTACGTTATTCCATGTAGTTCATTTTTAATCAATATATGTTTGTGGAATTCTAAATATATTATTAGCAACACAAACAATAGCATTCATTAAAAATATTCGGTTCATAGGAAAACCAGGTATACATGAATTTCAAGGAGTAGCTAGCCTAATTTCTATCACGCTTCTTGCTGAACATAGTTTTACGTGATGGAATAGATAAACATCAATTTTGAAGAATGAAAAAAAAAATCCAAATGAATAAACAAATAAATGAAATATTTTAATATGTGGAGGCCCCCAGATTGTGGAGGCCCCTGTGCAGCTGCCCACTTTGCCCACTCCTGAATCCGGCCCTGTCTGGGGAGACCTCTCTCTCTCTCTCTCTCTCTCTCTCAGCAACACAGAAGGGGAAGAAAAAACACCCACCACAGTTCGCTAACTTAATTATTTCACCCAAACTTCCGTAACACATGAAAAGTTTCTGTCGTCACAATAGCTGAGTTACCTACATGTGTGTTGCCAGATGAGCATAATTTCTTAGTTGGGTTAAATGTTATTGTTGATATATGATGATTTATGTTATGTAATATAATAAGATAAATAAATGTGTAAAAATGTTTAAGACTATTATAACCAAGTTAAGTTCCACACTAATAGTATTATATAAACTCTTCGTGGCTCTGTCATAGATTTCATACATTACAAAATACTTACAATCTTATTTCATAGTTGGTGATATGATGTGATTGTTTGGTTCAGTGAGCATGGCGAGAAGTGGATGTTGTTTAAGTTTTTATACTAAGTTCTGTACGTTATAATAAAGTGTTTGGCATTATAATCCACAAAAGGAGGGAAACAAGGATAAAAAACAGGTATTGTATTTAAAGGTAATCTAAACCACACAACTGCTGTCAACAATGATTAGCCACTCTGTCTACGTGAACCTGCCTGGTGTAGTGCCTTCCCGCTTGGCCGAGATGGCTGGGGTCCCTCAGTGACTATATCTGTATAATTATAACTGTATAAGTGTAACTAAAGGCGTTTTCGATTTACGGAATAGCTAACGCGTTAGCTATTCTGTATGAACAGACACAGCTTTTGAGCTGTGCCCATGGAACATTCAGAGGGAAGAGCTAACACCTCGATCAGGCGTTAGCCTTGATCAGCGACCAAGCGTTCCGAATAGCTAACAACCAATGAGCGAGTTTCTCCCACGTACACACTGTGTAAATATGTGGATCATGGCCGCTTATGGAGAATATTTTGGTTAATATTGAAGAGGTGTGGGCATGTAAGACAATAAAAAACTCTGATATAATTATAAAAATAATTCTATATACGGTAGTAATTAGTATATTGGATAGGACCTAAAGCAAAGCGCATGGCGTGAACGAATTGAAAAGGATTTCGCCTAGTTGAAACCAGTTTTGGCTCCGCCCATTTTTAGGTAGGTGCTGTACGGTTCATGAGTCGCTGGTGAATGTTGTGTAAAATATTGCGAATTAATCGAATATGATTAAAACTTTAACATCATTACTCATAAGATACTATAAATAATGGTGAACAAGTTCATTAACGTTCTGTAAATGCAAAAATTAATACCTAAAACGAACCTGAAATTCGTAGTATTGCGTATTTATGTATGCGAACAGCTGTAAACAATGTAGCAGGGAGACGAGACGAGACCATACGTAGTGTGGTTTTAAAGCTCCCCACCCCGGAGTCCGGACCATCAACCCTTACAACGGGCCCGATTTTTTGTGTTATTCTTATTTATTGTTGACTGAATGACCTGTTTTTTCCCCTTTTGTCTTTCTTTCCATAATTTTCTATATATTTTCTTCACTATTTCTTTCCTTATTGTGTCCAAATAACAGTTCTCCTAATTTTATTGTTTTATAAAATCTGTGTTGTACAACAGTTATTCCCAAGACGCAGTACAATGTCGCATTTTTTAATGACAGTCCGGGAAAGTTAACGCGATAGCTATTCCGTGATTCTTAAAACGTCTTACAATAAACGCCTTAACAGTCCATGACTGTATCTTCACCTACAGGGACGGTAGAGTGTGTGTAATACCACTGTGGGAGTCAGTATGAGGAGGTGTAGTGTGTTGTTCCTACTGCTGGTGGTGACGTCTGGCCCGGCAGCCGGCTACCAGGTGCTGGTGCTCACTCCAGTAGCCTCCTGCAGCATCTATAATCTGTGTCGCTCACTCTCAGAGGCTCTGGGTGACGCTGGCCACTCTGTCCTCCTCTGATGCATCGTCCAGGTAAGTGTTGGAGATCTTAACATTCCTTTATGTAAATGTTTACAGTAACCACGCCGGGATATTGCCAATAATACCACTATCTTTATAATCAATCACTAAATACTATTTCTTATTGCTGGCATAAAACTTCCTAAAAAAAAGATTTTAAAATTTATTATAGTTGTGTGTTTACAATAACGGAAACCTGTTAATTGCTTACAAACTTTGGCGCTGCTAACATCACCAACGAATGTAACTTATCTGCCACTGAACTTTGAAAGGATGGATTAGTGAATTAGCCTCTTGCTCCTCGTTCTCTTCTGTATAAAACAAATCATTTCTTTAATATGTATAGTTTTTAGTAGGAAAGAACCAGTGAGCTTGCCATCCGAGCATTAAATTACACATTAAAAGAAGAGACGAATGGTTTGTTTTCTCCCAACAGAACGTTAACCACCGGCTTACTTGTGGTCAATATTATTCTGTACAAGTCGACGTAAAGTTTTGTATATTGCTACATATTTCTAAAATTGGTTCTGATTCGTTCTATATTTCTAACATTTTATACCAGTTATTGTAATAACAAAAGGAGTTTAGTAATTAATATAAAAAAACTGCAGAATTTTATTGCTAAGAATATGCAACATTGACATAAAGACAAACGAAGAAATATCAAGATTATAAAAAAAAAAATTAAAAGAAATACTTGAAATATACAGAAAATGATAAATGGAATACATTACTTTGGTTAAATAATTAGAGATGAAGGGATAATAACCGAAACACTAATGGGCAAAATTGAGGGTAGGCGAGCCTGGGGATAGGTAGAGACTGGGATGGATGAATGAAATTAAAAACTGGGTCCCCAGAGAGATACAAAACCTTAGAGGATTGGTAAACACAGCACGGGAAAATTTAGAGAGAAGGACTGTTGTCGCCAACCCTCAGATATAAGGACGGTGCTCTGATTGAATGATTTATGTAACAAGCTAAGACCTTAGATTGATTGAGCTGTTTTGAAGGTCTTTATTTATGTTATGATGGGCAAAGTAAGGTGCAGTTGCCTCCATTTATAACTGGTACAGTAGCTGGCGTGTTTTGTGAGATGTGGTACCACCGCCGACCAGACAACAGGTAGGAGCCCATAACGTTCTACTTGGTAATGTATATTAAAGCTATAGCCATCCATAAAATGGCCATATAGTTCGGCCGATTCTGCTAGTTTTATTATAATGTAAACAAACAGTGGTGCCACATCTCACAAAACATGCCATCCATTGTACCAGGTATAAATGGTGGCAACTGTACATATGTTATAATGTTATCTGAAGTACATTGTTACTGATAAGAGGTGGGTAAGTGTAATACATTAAACGAGATGTAAGTTATGGGTAGATGGAATAACATGAGAGGGGAGGGAATTTCACATGAATAATGAGGTTCAGTTAAGAACAGTCTCTTCTTCTACCGTTTACATTATTTAAGACAGTCTCTCATGACATTCATACTCCATTAACTTAAATTACAACATCATGAAGCATTATTTCTTGCATGACTGACCTCTGCTTTCTTTTGACTGTTATTCTCAGACACGAAAATGTAACGGAAGTCCACACCGGCGCCGACTCGTTCGAGTTAAATTTGTTTGTGTTGGGACCCAACATTGCATTGCTTCAAAAGAAAATTCTGGAAATTGCTGCAGAAACCGGCAGGAGGATGTGGTCTAACGAGGCAATACAACGACTCTGGCAAAATAGGGACAGTTACCAGGCTATAGTAATTATTGGCTATATCAATGAGGTGGCTGTACCATTTCTCCTGGATTACAAAGGTGTGTACATCAATTTATGCACTCCTGGGGTAGAACTCTTGCACATGAAGCAGCAAGGCAACTGGCTGCCCATGTCCGTCTTGCCAGGAATAAAGACGACATTCACCCATGACATGACCTTCATGGAGAGAGTTCTTAACCCACTACTCACCCTGTGGCCTTACCTTAATTACCAGTATAATGTGATCCCTCGCTTCCAGGAGCTACTGCAGAAGTTCTTCCCCAATTTGCCTCCACTTACCACACTCTACTGGAACAGCTCCCTGACCCTCATCAACAGCCACTACGCCGTGGACGGACCTATGCCACTGTTGCCCACACAGGTGGAGGTGGGCACCATCAATGCCAAGAAGGCCAACCCACTTCCTCAGGTACAGCAAATCCTCCCACTGCCTTTTTTGTAGCGTATCTTTAGTCAATTACAGTGTGGAGTGAGTGAATAGTGTTTAGTCAAAGACTCACTTCGGCCACCCTTTTAGTTGCCACCAGTTCGAGACACCATTACAGTATGTGCCAGTACACTCTACCATGGCTTTGAATGTGGAGTTATTTGAAAAAATGTCGAGGGTGGCGTCAGACTCCCACTCAGTATACATATATATATATATATATATATATATATATATATATATATATATATATATATATATATATATATATATATATATATATATATATATATATATATATATATATATATATATATGCAAGTAAATCACTGTAGGTGCGGTGCATCTTCAGGGGTGAGTACAGACTGTACTCACCCCTGAAGATGTGAATTACACGAAAGCGCTTGGGAACTATCAGCATATATATATATATATATATATATATATATATATATATATATATATATATATATATATATATATATATATATATATATATATATATATATATATATATATATATGGGATTACACTCTAGTCGTAGTTGGTAACATGTTTTGATAGAGACATGAACTCACTTTGTCATTAACTCATTTGGTTTTTGAAGGGATTTAGATGGGAGATGTGCTTACTTTTTTTTTTACCTCTGGTTGTGTTCACTGTATGTCTATCCAGGCTTTGTTGAGGGGCGTGTGTTAGTTCAGGCTGTTGAAAGTTTTTCCCATGCAAAATAGTTTATGTTCATGTACGCTTTCCCCGACTACAGCGAGGGAAGCTTGAAACAGTTATAGTATTAAAGATGTTCTGAGGTGTTTGTAACCCTCACCAGTCTGCCTGGTTATAGATTTAAGTTCTTTCATTCTGGGGTCATCATAACAGTGTTGTAGTCTGATTCTATTAAACTGACAACGATTCTTCCATCTTTTTGCTGGAGGCATTATTGGGGAAGAATCCATTACTCCTCTCTGAGGGAGTGTGCTAAAGTTTCTGGCCCCTGTGCTTGCTCGCCTCTTTCGCCTTTGCCTCAAAACCCAAACTTTTACTTCTTCTTTGAAGCAAGCCTTGGTTCAGCCCATCCTGAAGAAGGGTGACCATTCTAATCCCTCTAACTATCGCCCTATTGCCTTAACTTCATCCTTCTCTAAGATTTTCGAAACTTGTTTAAACTCCCATTTTCTCCGTCACCTTGAACGGCATTCTCTTTTATCGGATCACCAGTATGACTTTCGCCAGGCGATATCTACTGGTGATCTGCTCTCCTACTGCACCCATCTGTGGTCCTCTTCTCTTAGGGATTATGGGGAAAGTTTCGTCGTGGCCGTCGACATTTCCAAAGCATTTGGCAGTGTATGGCACAAGTCTTTGCTTTCTAAACTTCCCTCTTATGGTTTTTCTCCCCCATTTTGTTCTCTAATCTCTAGCTTCCTTGATAACCGATTCATGGCAGTTGTTGTCGAGGGATCGCTCTCTCGCTCTTTCTCTGCCAATAGTGGTGTCCCACAGGGTTCTGTTGTTTCACCTACTCTCTTCCTTCTTTTTATCAATGATTTACTTCACACTACAACTAATTCTATCCATTCCTACGCTGATGATTCTACTCTTCACTCTTCATCACATTTTCCCCTTCCCCCTAACTCTCAAACTAGATCTGTTTCTAGAGCTGATATCATTACATCTATCAGTGAGGATCAGTAGTAATAAAGTTCAGCATTTACCAATTACACTTTCCAAATTAGATGATCTCCCACCAAACACATTTCAGGACGCTATCCTTCTGCCAAATTCTAAAAGAGATATGCTAGGCCTCACCATTTCCTCTAACATGTCATGGAAGCAACACATCCTCAACATTGCTAAATCTGGCTCCCGAAAGCTAGGAATGCTGTACAGATGCCATAGCTACTTCCGTCTTGAGCAGTTGCTTCAAGTTTACAAGGGATTCATTTGTCCTAACTTGGAGTAATGCTCTCATATCTGGGGTGGCTCTTCTTCTGTCCAACTGTTAGACAGGGTGGAATCAAAGGCATTTCGTCTTGTTGACTCTTCTCCTTTCTCTTCGCCGCAATGTTGCTTCACTCTCTCTCTTTTACAGGTTATTTTAACGGGCAATTTTCGGTGGATTTGGCATCCTGTGTACCGCCGGCAAGGCCGTGGGCTCGTAACACACGCCTTGCCCGCGGTGCCCACCATTTCTCTGTGGATGTCGGTGTCATGTGCTCATAACCCCATAGCAACAAGCATGTCGTGTGGTATCTGTTTACGCCTCCACTCCACACAAGCTATTAATAACTTGTTATTTTTACTATTATCTTATTGTTGTTCTTAGTTACTTAGGTTAATTTGATATCTATATATATGTCATTAATATGCATCATTTGTGTTACTCTGTTAAGTCAAACCAAGAGTAGTATTAATTAGTTATAAGACTATTTGGCAACTGTCCTGAGTCACGTGATCTAAGACGCTCCTCACTCATATGCTGGGTGGCCAGAGACTCTCTCTCTAGTAAGCGTTGGTATAGGCCATAGGTAGGACGTGTCCACACCGACCCAGTACAGACGTGCTTTGTTCAGTCATCTACAATACCCTAGTGGTATCTGGTATTTAGTGGCACTTTAACTTAGGCCTAGGAAGGGATCCTGGTGTTAAGGAATCTCCTGTTTGGTAGGAAATAACCAGTTGGTTGTGATTGCTGTGTATATATTGTGATGTCTGTGTTTAATATAGTTAATGTTAAGTCGTATTCATTTGATTTAACTCCTTAACAGTATATTTTCACCCTTCAGGCATCACTCTTATTTTAATATACAATCACTTATTCCCTTTAATTCCATGGTTGCTAGACAGTACTCCTTTAAGAACATAAATTGAATTATTTAATTATCTTCCCATTTGTGACTCACTTACTCCAACTTATTCTTATTTAGTCAAGTACATTCAGTTGAGTCGGTTTTTGTGGGGATAATTATTGCCGTGTTCCCTGTTTATTCCTTTATTTGATGATAACTTGGGGTAGGTTTCACTCCCCAGGTATAAAGGATATTGGGATCACGACATCGCTCACACTAGAATAAACCTTATTCTGTGTTTCCATACTCATAAAATCTGTCTCACTTTAAAAATCTGGTTTTCCGGCATCTTCGTAGTGTAGATTAATATAACCTTTTCCTTTTCTATTTTTAATTACTTTCTACTCTTATTTTTTCACCCACTAGACCCCGTTGTGGGTCCATATTTTATGCCCGTGTACGCTATTAACCTTAAAAAAAAATGTACCAGATCATCATGTAGACTTTGTTAGTTGGCAGGCTTGTAACCCTTGTATCAGTCATGGATGAAGTCTATGAACTGGCTTTCATGTTCGTGTTTGACTGTGAGTCTACGTCTCTTGAGCTTACCGCTAGTGGGAGTGGCATTGGCTATATGTAAACTAGCTTGGATTGATTTGTGATCAGACATAAGATCCGTGACTACTGTACATCAGAGCTAAGAGTTGTGTATGATAGATTAAAGCCAACAAAATTGTCTAGAGCCCCGCCATAGATGTGTGTTGGTTCATTATCATCTATAAATTGAGCATCTTCATATTCTCTTACCATAATCTCCAACCATTAGTGTTAGTGGTGGAGTCACCTAATTTCTTGTGTCTAGTGTTCAGGTCACCAATTACGTCAGTGGGTTCAGCATATATGAAGTCTGGGAGATTTGTGTAGTGAAGCAGAGTTGAGGAAGCATAGGCGTTTAGTACGTTTGGACACGAGATCCTGGTGGATCTTGAGTTTCCACCTCTGGGACTGTCATTTCAGGATCATCCTTTCCATTTCAAATGATTCATTGTTGAAAAATCACGGTGCTCGGTCCCTTCATTTTGTGCCGCCAGTTGATCTTTGAGCTGTTCTATGTCATTTTCCGTGGCAGTGTTCACTACGCTGTTTGTGTCTTCAGTGGGAGAGTTAGTAACTTCCTGTTGCGGCTCCGCGTCTGTGTAACTCCATACAGGTCTGCTGTTAACAGCTGGGACTCATCGGTTAGGTGCAGTGGTGCCGGTAAACCAGGGTTGTTCCTAGGTGGCTCCCCTATAGCAGTAGACCTGCCTGACAACTATTTTGGTGTCATCCTCAAACTTGCTTATGTCATTGCTGATCCCAGTATTTAGATCGTTTATGTAGAATATGAACAAGAGTGGGCCCAGTACTGACCCCTGGGGAACCCCACTGGTTACACAGCCCCACTCAGATTTAACACCATCTACACTGACCCTCTGTGTTCTATCGGTGAGCCATGATTTTATCCAATTTAAAATTTTCCCCTCGATACCATGAGCCTTAACTTTTCTCAGAAACCTCTGATGCGGTACTCTGTCAAACGCTTTGCTAGAGTCTAAGTAAATAACATCGTAATTTTCGTCATTATCTACTACCTCGAAGACTTTTCTGAAAAACGTCAGCAGATTTGTTAGACAAGATTTTCCCTTTGTAAACCCATGTTGAGAGTCGTAGATTAATTTGTTTTTCTATAAATGCGATCGGATGCTATTTGCTATAATTGATTCAAGAAATTTCCCCACTACTGACGTCAACTAATCGGCCGGTAATTTGACGCTGATGCTCTGTCTCCCTTTCTGAATATGGACACTACATTTGCCTGCGTCCACAAGTCTGGAGCAATCAGCAGTGTCCTCATCGGTTGACTCAGGCATAGTGGAGTGGCAAAACTTGACCGCACTTACCTTAGACCGAGGAGCTTTAACTACGGTACCACTAGCATGGAATAGGGGCATAAGTGAAGGGGCACTGTGGAGTGCCAGCAGCTGTCACATATATCACTGCCCTACAGTCACTTACACATGGTCATAGCTCACTGACAATGATGTGAAGTCACTATTACACTTTGTTTCACATTGCGTGAAATATATGTTTGGTTATCCTGTAGTGTGGCACACAAGCAGTCAGCGGTGGCTGGGAGGCGTAACCCTCTTATGAAGCGAGGTAAGCTTCCTTTGTTACTCATGTCACCATTTGTAAAAATCAGAGAGCAACAAGGGTCAAAATGACCCGAATAGTCATAAAAAAAATTGCAGAGCCGCGAGTCAGGACCAATTCAGAAGGTGCTACAAGGTTCCTGGCTGTATAGTGGCAGGTAACCCAAACACTCACCTTTGTTACGTTATGTACTGCGTCAGACTGAGCCAGTCTCTCTTGCCCAGGCCCACAAAACTCTTCTATTTTTTTTTTATTATATGGCAAAAATAATATCATTAATTCTTTAGGACTTAGAATTTTACCTGTAAATATCAGTGATAGTCAGACAAAAGTGACTCTGATTTCTTGCATATAAATAAACATAAAAGTCACTTTTACTTTTTTTTCTAAATTGGACCAACATTCGTGCTGGACTCCATGGTCGCCCAAGAAATCATTGCACCAGCCGGTGATGACCCGTCTCCATGGTGTCACCCCATGGTAGTCGTCGCAAAACCTAAAGGTGGTGTTCCGATCACCACTGACCTCTCCAAGCTCAACAGCCAGGTGTCTCGTCCTGCGCACCCTTCTCCCACGCCCTTTGCAGCTATCCGCAGTGTGAACCCGAAGGCGCGCTTCTTCACAACGATGGACGCCCTGTGTGGATACTGGCAGATAGAGCTTGCCGAAGAAGACCAACCACTTACAACTTTCATGACCCCGCATGGACGTTACAGTTATTGCCGTGACCCCATGGGATTCGCCGCTACAGGAGATGCCTTCTGCCTTCGAGGCGATATGGCTCTACAAGGTCTGGCAAACTGCGTGAAAGTGGTCGACGACATACTCGTGTACGATGAGGATTACATGGATCACCTCTGCCGTATCTACGAGGTACTCAACAGGTGCTGGAAGCACGGCATCACCCTAAATGCCGACAAGTTTGTTCTGGCCGGCTCTTCAGTGGACTTCTGTGGGTACACCCTCTCAGGGAATGGTATCGCAGCTGACCCGGACAAGGTCCGCGCTATCACGGATTTTCCCACCCCTGCTAACCTCACCGACTTGAGGTCCTTCATTGGTCTCATCAACCAGTTAGCAGAGTTTTCGCCGGACATCTCCGCAGCCGCCCAACCACTCCGCCCCCTGATGAGCCCCAAGAGGACATTCCTGTGGACTCCCGAAAACGACAAGGCCTTCCAGCAAGTGAAACAGGCTCTGTCTAGTCCACCTGTCCTCGCCACGTTTGACCCAGCCCTGCCGACGGTTCTGCAAACAGATGCCTCACGCTTGTACGGCGTAGGATACGCCCTATTGCAGGATGATGGTGGAGGGCAGTTCCGGCTCGTCCAGTGTGGCTCGCGTTTCCTCTTTGACACCGAAACGCGCTATGTCACCATTGAGCTGGAGCCGTTGGCTGTGGTTTGGGCGACGTCCAAGTGCAGGTTTTACCTCATAGGCCTGCAACACTTTGACCTAGTGACCGACCATCGCCCGCTTGTCCCGATACTCAACCACTACACGCTTGACGCCGTTGAGAACCCTCGCCTCCAATGTCTGAAGGAGAAGCTCTCGGTGCACATCTTCACAGCAGTGTGGCGTGCTGGTAAGGAGCTCTGCAACCTGACGCCTTATCCCGCTCTCCTGTCAGCCGCCCTACTCCAGAAGACCAAGTGCTCGACGCCGACCTCGCTCTTTCTGTCAGGACTGTGGTCACCTTACACGCCATCCAATCCCTTCGTTCGGACTTGTCACCAGATGACGACAAGGCAATGGAGGACCTTCGAACAGCGGCCCGAGATGACCCTTCCTACGTCCGGACTCGTCGAGTGCGTGAGGAACGGATTCCCTAGCAACCGCTACGACCTTCACAACACCCTGCTCCCGTATTGGAAACTCCGCGATGAACTCTACTGCGACGGGAACCTTGTTCTGTATGGAGCACGTGTAATTGTCCCTGCTGCCTCACGTCCCCACGTCTTGGCTCGCCTTCACGACAGTCACCGCGGAGCTGAGACCACCAAACAACGTGCAAGACAGACTGTGTTCTGGTCTGCCATCGACTCCGACATCTCCAATGTTGTCCATGCGTGTGAGCCCTGCCAAGTTCTACAACCCAGCCAGCAGCAGGAACCCTTCATGAGTGACGACAACCCCACCCGCCCCTATGAGTCTGTGTCGGCCGACTTTTTCTGTGTCAGGAAAGTCCTTCCTGGTTATCGTCGACCGTCTCTCTGGTTGGCCGGTTGTCATCAAGTGCGGTAATGATACGACGTCTGCCGCCACCATCAGCAAGTTCCGCCACTACTTCCGTGACGTGGGTGTTCCTGTGCGCCTGCGAACCGACGGAGTTCCCCAGTTCACAAGCCGGGACTTTACTGCATTCCTCGACCGTTGGGGAGTCCGGCATGTGTTGTCAGCGCCCCATTACCCGCAGTCCAATGGCCATGCTGAGGCTGCTGTCAAATCCCTGAAGCACCTCATCCTCAAAGTGGCCCCTTCTGGGAACATTGACTGTGAGGCCTTCGACCAGGGTCTCCTTGAACTCCGCAACACACCCAATTACACCGGACGCTCCCTGCCCAGGTCTTGTACGGACGCCCCCTCCGTTCTTGTGTCCTTGCTCACCCTCAGTCCTTCTCCAAGGAGTGACAGGCCAAGACAGAGGATTGTGATCGCCGAGCCGCCGAACGTATCAAGACGTCGTCGCCCGCTACAACGACCACGCCCGTCCTCTCCCCAGGTTGAGTGTCGGCACCCAAGTCCGTGTTCAAGACCCGACCTCCCTACGTTGGGACAAAGTGGGCGTAGTCATGGGTCTCGGCAGGTCACGGGACTACCAGGTGCGGTTACCCAATGGTTGTGTGTGGTGGAGGAACCGCCGTTTTCTCCGCCCTGCAACACCTTCCGCTGACCCCGTCACCAGTGCTGAGTCCCATATCCCCCCCAGTGATCAAGCCCCTCGACGCTCAGAAACGATCCACAAGAAAAGGTCCGCTCAAGACTTTGCTATGAGCTTATAGGGGGGGGGAGGTGTATGCGTGTTATGTATGTTGTATGTATACCATGTATGTACCCTACTTATATACATTACTTCTCTAGTCGGTAGCGTGTGGCAATGCCCCTGTTTCATGTCACCATACGCTTAGATAATGTGCCTCGCGACATCTGGAAGCTGCTAATGTACCACTTACCACATGTCGCCTGAGAGGTCAGGGAGAGGTCAGTTGACCCATAAATTGTGTAAGGGACTACCTGTGCTTGTAAGCGCACTCCTGTATATTTCCGTTAAATATAACCTACAAAACTCTACAGGTGTTTATTTTCGCTCCTGTAGCTAGAACTAAGTACCCCGAACATCTCCAATGTTGACGGGACAAGAATCTGTTGAATATGTCCCACAGAAGTTAATTAAATCACAACCTAGTCTGCCAATAAAGTCCTACTTAAATCATATCCCTGCCACAAAAACCCCCGGAGGAAGTTATAACCATACAACCAAGAATCCCTTCATAGTCCATAACAAATCACCTGCGTCCTGCTCCTATATATCACTACCTATTTTACCTCAAAATGAGAGAAGCCAAAGGTCGTTTACATCATTATAACAATTACGCAAACTTGCTCGAAGAGGAGTTGAAATTTCCTTGTGTTTCTGCCGTAACAATGAGGCTCTTGTCTATCCCACTTAAGGGGAGACATCAACTTGGTAATATTTAATAATTGGCTCCCGAAGGCCTCATCTGATCTTCATCTGTCGCTGCAGGATCTGGAGGAGTTCATGGAGGGAGCTGGGGAGGCTGGGGTCATCGTGTTCAGCCTTGGTAGTGTGGTGAAGAGTGGTGAGATCCCACACAGTTACAAGGTAAGGTGTTGTATTCTTTTAGGCTCGAGATAATATTTAAATTATTAAAGATTTATGTAATCGATGTGAAAATTGTGTTTACATAATCAACTGAAAGTTGTCGAGTTCCATAATGATAAGTCTCTTGTTACTGATGTTTGTGTAGTGGATGCAATCCTAGACAAGGTTCTTGAAACTCCAGGGCACGAGCAGTAGATATATTCAACAAGTGGTACAAGACTTGGCGTGATAGCCAACCGGTACAGGAACAGGAGCCAGCACAAGGAACTCCTCGTCGTAGGCAGGCCGAAGCCGATCTGAGGGAAATTAGCTAGCTAGGCAAGGGGAGTTGCTAGACATTCCTAGGACAATAAATGAGGTCTTCTAATTACTCGACTAGCGCGGTACAGACATAGTACATCGGGACATAGTAAATGGACATAGGCATTAGACATAAGCATAGATATCAGACATGCTATAATAATATGTAGTAATACAGACATGTGAATAAATGGTACAATGAATGGTAACAGAGTCTTGGCGTCAGGCGTGTTCACATATCTTGGTATGTACATATCTATACACCTCCCTCCCCCTTTACGCTCGTAGTGCAATCTCGAGCGGCTACGGACTCTTTTCCCATGAGTCGGGGGGAGCGGCGAGGGACAATGGGAGGATCAACTGACGACCTTCGTTCCTGGTCTGGGCAAGGGGACACAGGGGACGGGGAGGAAGGTTCGTCACTAGAGGATGGCACTGGGCGGAGATGGCGTCTGTTTCGCCACCACACACGACCACTGGGGAGGCGGACTTGGTACGAACGAGACTCGCCACGGCCCATGACGACCCCGACCTTGTCCCAGCGGTGTGACGTCGGGTCCTGGATTCGTACTTGCTGGCCGACGGCCAACCTGGGAAGGGGGCGGGCTTGGGCGTCATAGTGGCTTGTCACTTGGGCCATCCGGGCAGCCTCACGGCGGTCACACTCGTCCGCCTTGATCTGCCATTCATCTAAGAAGGACTGGGGGTGGGCAGGCACACAAGTACGAAGGGGGCGGCCATACAACACCTGGGCAGGAGAGCGTCCGGCAGGGGTAGGGGTGTTACGGAGTTCCAGTAGGCCCCTGTCGAACTCCTCGCAGTCCAGGTTCCCCGTCGGTGCTGTCTTGAGGATGAGGTATTTTACGGACTTTACCGCTGCCTCGGCGTGGCCATTCGCCTGCGGGTAATGAGGGGAGGTGACGATGTGGTGGACGCCCCAGCGTTCGGCGAAGCTCTTGAACTCGTGGCTATTGAACGGGGGCCCACCGTCGGTTCGGAGGCGGAGAGGCACTCCGACTTCCCGGAAGAAGCAACAAAACATCCGGATGACCCTGGAAGAGGTGGTGTCCCGACCACAGGGAACTACCACGGGCCATCCAGAGAGCCTGTCGGCGACCACCAGGAAAGACTTTCCGGCCACATTAAAGAAGTCGGCGGACACGGACTCAAAGGGCCGCTTTGGGAGGTCATTGCACAGGTACGGCTCTTGTTGCTGGCTGGGCTGGAGTTGCTGGCAAGGCTCACAGGCCTCAACCGTGCTCTTAATATCGGCGTCAATACCAGGCCAGAAGACGGTCTGACGGGCTCTGCGCCTGGTGGCTTCAACGCCGCGGTGGCTGTCATGGAGGCGGGATAAGGTGCGCCGGCGGAGGGCAGCGGGAACGACGATCCTGGGGCCGTACAACACCAGCTCTCCGTCCGCATAGAGGCTATCCCTTAGCTTCCAGAAGGGGAGGGCGGAGGCGTGAATGTCGTAGCGGTTGGTGGGGAATCCAGCGGAGACGTAGTCGAGGAGTTGGACGTATGCCGGGTCTTGAGCGGCGGCGATGCGAAGCTCCTGGAGAGTCCTATCGTCTTCGATGGAGGGCGTCGTCGTCGTCTTGTCAGCAAGAGAAGTGGCTGTGTGTGTCACTAAAGACCGAACGTGAGCAGCGGCCGTGGTACAGTCGACTTCATCTTCAGGTGTGGGCCGACTAACAGGTGCTCGGGAGAGGGCGTCTGGTATGCACAGAAGCTTCCCGGCGCGCCACACAGCTGTAAAGACGTAAGGGGCGGTCTTCTCTTTGAGATGTTGGAGGCGAGGGTTTTCGATGGCGTCCAACGTGTAGTGATTGAGGATGGGTATGAGCGGGCGATGGTCCGTCATGAGGGTGAAATGCCCAAGGCCGAACAGGTAAAGGCGGCACTTGGCCATAGCCCAGGCGACTGCCAGCATCTCTAGTTCGATGGTGGCGTATCTGGTCTCCGTGTCCGTCAAAAACCTGGAGCCACACTGAACTAAGCGCAGTCTACCCTGGCCGTGATCTTGAAGGAGGGCATATCCGAGGCCGTATAGACGGGAGGCGTCGGTCTGGAGGACCACTGGTAAGGACGGGTCGAAGGGTGCCAAGACTGGTGGTGACAGCAACGCCTTCTTAACATTCCTGAACGCTAGGTCGTGGTCAGGAGTCCAGAGGAAAGAGCGCTTGGGGCTCATGAGGGGGCGTAGAGGTTGGGCTGATGTGGCGATTTTAGGGGAGAAGTCGGCCAGCTGATTTACCAGGCCCATAAATGAGCGAAGGTCGGTCAGGTTCGCTGGAGTAGGGAAGTCCCTGATGGCCTTGACCTTCTCCTCATCAGCTGAGATCCCCTCTGGCGAGATGTTGTAGCCGCAGTAGTTAACTTGGGGGGCGGCGACCACAAATTTATCTTTGTTCAGGGTGATACCATGGGCACGACATCTTGTGAGCATCAGATGAACTCGGTTCAAGTGGGCCGGGAGATCATCGTCGAAGAGCAGGATGTCATCTACGACCTTCACGCAGTTGGTGACACCCTGCAGAGCCATATCCCCACGGAGGCAGTACGCATCCCCCGTTGCTGCGAAGCCCATGGGTCCGCGGCAGTGTTGGAAGCGGCCGTAGGGCGTGATGAATGTAGTGAGGTGGCGATCTTCTTCCGCCAGGTCGACTTGCCAGTACCCATGTAGTGCATCCGCCGTGGTAAAGAACTTTGCAGACGGGGTGACGCTGCGGACTGCTTGGATGGGCGTAGGCGATGGATGGGCGGGACGGGAGACCTGCGAGTTGAGATGGGTGAGGTCCACTGTGATGCGAACACCTACAGGCTTGGGTGCCAAGACCATAGGGTGGCACCACTCGGAGGGCTCCTCACCGGCGTGTCTGATGATCCCCTGCTGCACCAGAGAATCGAGCTCCGCCTTCACCTTGTCCCGTATGGCAAAGGGGATAGGCCTGGGTGTGTGGATGGTGAAAGGCGTCGCGCCAGGCTTGAGGTGGATTCTCATCGGGGTGCCTGTCATCTTCTTGAGCGGCGTCTTCTGGAGGTCGGGCTTGGAGACAAGGACGTCGCTGAACTGACGAAAAAAGAACTCCCGGGCGGCAGCAGGTGTGGTCATGGCTGAAACAGGTATCTCTGCACACCTGTTGAGGTGTGTCACGGCGAGGATGGGCTTTGGGAACTCGGATGAGACGATGGCCAAGTCCTGACAATGGCCACATGACAAGAGAGGGGTTTGGATGCCCTCATGGACGTGGACTGTGGCAAGGCAAGACTTGGGACCGAGCTGTAGTGTTGCCTTGAAGCAACCCAAAGGTGGAGACATCGGGGACCCGTCCGCTGTGAGCACGTCGTTCATGGCTGTGGGTGACAGGCTACTCCTGGGGATGTTGAGGGCGTCCAGGTGTGTTGGTCCAATCACCGTGATGTCCGCGCCCGTGTCAGGTATCATCAGGAGGTTGGAAGAGTTGGTACCGTAGGACAGACGAACATTGACGGGCTTGGGGGACCTGTCACTCGAGGTATCATCCACGCGTCGGCATCCTTTGTTGTTCTTGGGAGACGGTGGTGTGGACGTTCTGTCGGGCTGTGAAGAGACGTTTTGACCTGGAGATGGAGGCTTCTTGGTGGACCTGCAACACTTGGCGAAGTGTCCTTGCTTGTTGCAAGCGTTGCATGAGACCTTGTTGGCAGGACATCGAGGTGTGCGGGGCCAATGGCCTTGAAACCCGCAGTTTCGACATGTACTATCAGCCGCAGGGCACTTTCCTGGACCGTGCTGGCGCTGACAGCTTCTGCAGGATTCGGGAGAAAACACTGGTGACTGTGACGGGGGCTGTGGAGAGGACGCCGTCTGCATCTGGCGTTGATTCCTCTTGTAGGTGGAGACGGCGTGGACTTGAGATGGCGATGAGTGTATAGCTGAGGCAGCCTCTCTTGTGGCCTCATACGACCTGCAACAGGTGACGAAGTCGGTGAGGGAAGAGGCGGCGTCGAGGGTGAGGAGTTTCTGAAGCAGGTCCTCGTCACGTACACCCATCAGCAAGATCATCTTGAGCTGGATCTCAGCACAGGTTACAGGATCGCCTGTACATAGGTCCACCTCGGCTGTTAGGTCCTTAAGTCGTGCATAGAAGTCTGAGAATGATTCCCCAGAAGCTTGTTTGCAGGATAGCAGTTCCCTACGACGCAGAGCTTCATTGCGGAGGCCACGGAAATGACTCTGCAAGGCGTTTAAAACCTCTGTCACTGACCTGGGGGAGTCAGGGGGGATGGCTAGCGTGTGCTCTAGGAGGCGTTGAACATCGAGGGAAATGCACGATCTTAATTGGATGAGTTGTTTATGAGGGGGCATTCGGTAGAGGTCAGACATAACAGCAAAGTCTTCGAAACGACGTCGCCATTGACGGTATACTTGATATGTTGCATCAGGTTGAAGAGGTGGGGGACTGGGAACTGAAGACTTGCTGTGCAGGGGTGTACTCGAGACGGCAGGCGGTGGAGGAGGCACGGAGAGGTCGACGAGAGTTGAGACTGGAGCAGGTGGTTGAGAGGGCACTGAGGTATACCCAAGGGGGATAGGTGACGTGTGAGGGGGCGTTGTCTGAAGGATAGATGAAGAGGCTGAAGCTGGCGAATTGGTTGTGGCAGCTGGTGAAGTCGTCCTCGTTGCCAGCAATTCCAATAGTCGCAGGAGTTTGTGGTTATCAGCTTGGTGTTGTTGTTGAAGTTGAAGGCGGTAAGCTGATGCCTCTGACTGTCTTGACAATTCCTCTTGACGTCTTGACCATTCCTCTTGACGTCGTTTTTCCTCCTCTAATTGACGTCTTTGGGCTTCCTTCTCTTGAGAAACTTGTAGGAAGTGGATTAACCGACGTATATCCTGGCTCCCATCCTTTGAATTTGGCGCGCCCGGCGTGTGAGGCGTGAGGGGGGGTGGGGGGGTCTGTGAGGCTTCGTCTACCTCATAATCCTCATCTAAATTTCCCGGCAAATCGTCGTGGTCAGACATCTCGTGTTTGGTATGGTTGTGATGGGAAAGACAAGGAGAATAAGGTGAAGTGCTATGTTTTCGAAAATGGACTTGCTTAAGTGCAGGAACTGGCGGGCAAGTAAAAGAGTACTGACTGTAATATTTGTGAAGTGAGAGGAGGCGGCTGGCGGCTGGCGGTGCTGGTCCCTGTATTCCTCCGCGCGCGGGCGAGCTGGCGGCGGTGGCTCAGTCGAAGGGGGACGCAGGCAGTGGCCTGTGGGCCGGCGTAGATGGAGGAGGTATGCCGGAAGTGCTGTCTTGGAAACTGGGCTGAAGGCGTTTCTGCTACCTGTAGGGCCGCAGAAACATAGCAAAGAGACATGAAAGGCACTGCACTTCACTTAGGGCACTTCACAAGGTCACAAAGCACTTTAAATCCAGGGGCACTGTGGAGTATATCTTCTGGGCGGGAAACAGACGAGGCCGGCTCTTGAGGCTTGTCAACTGTCGTGTTGGAGCTACTCAAACTGCGCCATGTAGTGGATGTAATCCTAGACAAGGTTCTTGAAACTCCAGGGCACGAGCAGTAGATATATTCAACAAGTGGTACAAGACTTGGCGTGATAGCCAACCGGTACAGGAACAGGAGCCAGCACAAGGAACTCCTCGTCGTAGGCAGGCCGAAGCCGATCTGAGGGAAATTAGCTAGCTAGGCAAGGGGAGTTGCTAGACATTCCTAGGACAATAAATGAGGTCTTCTAATTACTCGACTAGCGCGGTACAGACATAGTACATCGGGACATAGTAAATGGACATAGGCATTAGACATAAGCATAGATATCAGACATGCTATAATAATATGTAGTAATACAGACATGTGAATAAATGGTACAATGAATGGTAACAGAGTCTTGGCGTCAGGCGTGTTCCCATATCTTGGTATGTACATATCTATACAGTTTGGGGTTGATTCCTGTTTACTGTCGCCTGATGCTGAGATTTACAGAGTAATCTAGACTGTTGTGGTTGACTCTTTGACGAGTTTGTTAGGAGTGTAATGATTGACTTTGTAGAGGTGGGCACTGTAAGAGCTAACTGGCAGTGTATTGGAGGACCTCGTAGTACCTGACGGTGGTATGGATCACTGTAGTGTTACAGATAACATCCTCCATCCATGTCAACAGATGATACTGGTGGAGGCGTTCAGACGGCTGCCTCAGCGGGTCTTGTGGAGGTACGAGGATGATGACCTGGACCTCCCCGCCAACGTCCTCACCATGAAGTGGCTTCCCCAGCAGGATGTACTAGGTGAGGCTACGAGACGATGACACAAACAGTAACCCAAGGCTGACCGAATAGAACGAGCCATTAACTCAGTCATGCCCTTAACTTTGTAACCCTCTGGCCTCCTATACACGTCTGTCATAACTCACTCTTCACAACAACATTATCTTGTCTCCTCAAAAGTCTAGGTTAATATTCGTCATGTAAATATGTGACACACACTCCATACTTCTCCTTAAACTATCTTGATAATCTTTCACTGTCCTTCTTCAAATCTTGCCAAGTGTTGTGGATATAAGTGTGTCATAACATTATACAGTTCTCCCTCTAGGAGCACATCTCTATACCAGACCGACCGTCTCGTTATCTGTCTCTCCAGTCACTGAGTCTCCTGCCAGCTACTCACCACAAGTCACCTCTACAACAAGTCGTCTCTTACAACTCCTCTTTATCCTTTTTTTCTTAGACCCTATTTTTGGTCCCTCCAGCCTCTACCTCTACCTCCTGTAATCACACAACAGGTTTACTGCGTCTTTGTCTTTTAACTGCTATACAAAACACTCCAGTCTTCTATACCTTCATCTTGGTTTATCTATTTAAAAAAAATATTTACCTTGCTGTCATCATTAACAGAGAGGTACTTAACTTTCACGTAGGCAGAGTTGTGAGGTGTGGCGGGTCACAGGTCGGTTACTTCCCCAAATATTGTTGTAAACATTACAGTAACTTTAGGCATTAATTTCACTACGATGCTTACTATGATTGTTGCTGGTGTTGTTCTACTCCTGAACTGCGGAGTTATTTGTCACTCCATTTCACAGTAGAACATGGGTTCAATTTATGTTCTTTATAAACAGAAGAAATAGATAAAATATGAATGAACAAAATTCACAGATGTCATTCTTACTTTACTCGTTAATAAGATGGTCGGTAATGGCTCTGGCGATGATCACTGCAACAGTCATGTGGTGCTGCACGACATAAACATCCACCAGTCAACATTAACACCATAATAGCTTCGTCGGCGTCCTTCTCCTTGATAACTGTATTGTTGCAGGTCACAGGAGGACGCGAGTGTTCATCTCTCACTGTGGTACCTTTGGCACTCAGGAGGCACTCTACCACGGCGTGCCAGTCCTCGCCCTCCCCATCGCCCATGACCAGCCCCGTAATGCCCAACGTTTTGCCAAGAAAGGATACGCTTACCTCCTCAACTGGAAGGACCTGAGTGTCAACGCCATCCTGAACGGAGTCAAGACACTCATCAAGGACCCGACGTAAGGCTCTGTGTCTCGTGTGATGACTTATCTCTCTTTCTCTAACAGTCTTACTTCTCATCTTACCTTCCCAGTTTCTTCACGTATCTTTGGTCAGTCAGTATCCCAGTCTCCATATATTCTGCCTTGACCTGTGTGTCTGTCGCTTCTTAGTTCTTAATGTAGTGTTTAGCCTCGCGTCTCAGTGTCTGTATTAATGTTAAGTTTCTGGTAGAGCGTCTCTGTGTGTGTTTACTTTAACTCAACACAAAACACAAAACCAAACTGATCTCCAATAATGTGAATAATAAAACTTTTCCGATATTGTACAATCAGGAGAACATCTTATCGCTGTAAAGGATTCCAGGAACAATAACCAGTCACTTGTTCTTATCACTACCATCTACTACAGTCACCATCTCCCACAGGTACCGCGAGAGAGTGAAGGACGTCTCAAGGATGCTGCAGGACCAGAAGGAGAGCGCGGGGGAGAGGGCCGTGTGGTGGGTGGAGCACGCCATACGTCATCAAGGATCCCCCCTCCTGGTGTACGCCGGCAAGAGACTCAACTTCTTCCAGTACATAATGTTGGACGTATTCGTCTTCTGGCTGGTGGTGCTGTCGGCGTGGGCCTTCCTCTCCTGCTACTGCGTCAGGAGGCTGTCTGGCTTGTGTTGTAGTAGGAAGGATAAGATAGAGTGATGGTAAAGGATAAAGAAGAATAAAATATAAAGAATTTAACTGATGAAGCATGAACGAGAAGAATGAAATAGGTAAAAATTGGTTCATAAAAATATGTTTTTAATCTAAAGTGGAAGGAGAGTGTACTGAAGGCATGATGATGATGATAATGAAGTAAAGTGGCAAATGACTTTGCACTGGGAAAGGAGAGAGGAGAGAGAAGTAAAGCATAGAAACGGGAAGAAATGTGGGAGGGGTAGATAGCAGGTGGGCTTGTAGTGGATTTCTCCCCTACAAACACTGTTTGTCTCTGCATAGCCGACCTCACGAATTCCCCTGTGTATGCCTCGTGGTCTAGGTCAACCAGCGCCGCCCACGGAGCGGGGGTCAACTACTAAGCCACGCCTACCCTCTACCACCGAAGGGTCAAGACGTACCTGGCGCTCCTCTCGGAGCAGCCAGGTCAACTGTTAAGTTGGCCCATACCAACCCCCTCCCCTGAACCCTCCTCCCCACCAGAATATCAACAAGTTCTCGACAGAAGTTACAATTTCATTTAGGAAAGGAACGGAACCAGTGTTAAACAGAGGTGAACAGTGGTGAACAGTGCTTAAGTCAGTGAGAACAACTCAACAGTAACAGTTGTACCGAAGTTAACCTTCACACAGTGAGGTCCCAGGTACCCAGTGATAACGGCCCCCGCGAGACCCAACAACAACCACTGATGTGTTAATCCGTCTACGATAGGAAGGCCTGGGACCACACCTCACTCATATATCACCATCTGTGAGGGAATTACTACACCACATGTCCCTCATAACACCATACGTGAGGGAATTACTACACCACGTCAAGTCCCTCATCACACCATCTGTGAGGGAATTACTACACCACGTGAGGTCCCTCATAACACCATCTGTGAGGGAATTACTACACCACGTCAGGCCCCTCATAACACCATCTGTGAGGGAATTACTACACCACGTGATGCCCCTCATAACACCATCTGTGAGGGAGTTACTACACCACGTGAGGCCCCTCATAACACCATCTGTGAGGTAATTACTACACCACGTGAGGTCCCTCATAACACCATCTGTGAGGTAATTACTACACCACGTGAGGTCCCTCATAACACCATCTGTGAGGGAATTACTACACCACGTGAGGCCCCTCATAACACCATCTGCGAGGGAATTACTACACCACGCCAGGTCCCTCATAACAACATCTGAGGGAACTACTACACCACGTGAGTTCCTCCTAACACCATCTGGGAGGGAGTTACTACACTACGAGTTTGCTGTTCAACACCTACATTAATCTGTATGTTCACTGTATGTTCCTTTATCTTTCTCTAATGAAGGCTTTTGTTAAACCACCAATGTATGTAATAAGTCATTTATGTCCAATGTATATTTTCAGCCTTCGGGCTGCAGAATTTTTTCAAAAAACCGTTAATTATTATTATTTATTATTATTATTTAAGACCTGACCTCGTGGTGATCTCTCTCTTACTACCTACACCAACCAGCAAGCAACACCTCCTCCTCCTCCGCCTGCCTGGCGGTCCTCGCTCCCGCCGGCGAGCATGGCGACCCACAGGCTGGTCCTCCTCTGAGCATCCTCACCAACCAGCTCTCTCTTCTTCTAGCTACAGCCGCAGCAAGCAACACCTCCTCCTCCTCCTCCGCCTGCCTGGCGGTCCTCGCTCCCGCCGACGAGCATGGCGACCCACAAGCTGTCCTCCTCTGAGCACCCTCACCAACCACCTCTCTCTACATCACGCTTGTAACCATGCTGCCTTCCCAGCACCAAGCTACATTGTACATCAAATGCAACATGTATACAGAGAGCACATCGTGATTTTTGAGTCGAGAACACCAAACAACCCATACCCCACAAATGGTGACCCCAGGAAATTCGCATTCACACAGGATGGAGGAGAAACCGATCACTCTCCCAGTCTTCAAGCAACATGGAAGACTGGCTTATCCACCCAGAAGCAGCTCTCATCGGCTCTACAGCTACTGTCTCTACACCGCAGGTTAGTCACCCTAGAGCAGCACTGCTTCTCTAAGCAGACACCAGCTCCTCTTCCTGCCCCAAGCACCACGTCCTACCGACCCGAGCACACCCGTCCTGCCTCAGACGCCGCCCCCGGCCCAGCAGTACCCCCTGCCGCTCCTAATGCAGCCCCTGCTCCCGACGCGGCCCATGCGCCTGAGTGCGGACCAACACACCTCTCTTTTCTCCCTCAGGTACTCCCTGCTAATGTCCTGCACCCTGCTGCTGTCGTGGACCCAGCTGCTGTCACGAGCCCTCATCCGCTTCTGCTGACGCAGCCCCTGCTCCTGACCCAGGCCCACACACCCCAGCAGGCGCATCTGACGACTCTGTACCTGCCGTGAGGGAAGCACAAGATTCATCGCCTCCACACACCCTTTTTCTCCCTCTCTACTCCCACAAATATTGTGTATCTAGACAGTTCGCTCCAGCCGGCGACCATGGCGACCCACAAGCTGGTGCTCCTCTGAGCACCCTCTGCTCAACTCTCTCTACATCACGCTTGTAACCAGGCTGCCACTTCCCAGCACCAAGCTGCACATACATCAATACAATATGTATCACAAGAGAGCACATTGTGAGTTTCCTTTCTCCATCCCATCCTGAGTGTAGACCAAATATCTCAATATCCACAAATGGTGACCCCAGAGATTCGCACTCACACAGGATCGGAGGAAAACCGGATCTCTCCCAGTCTTCAAGCAACATGGAAAGCTGGCTTATCCACAGGGCAGCTCTCATCGACTCTACAGCTACTGTCTCTACACCGCAGGTTAGACTCCCTAGAGCTGCACTGCTTCTCCTAAGCAGCCACCAGCTCCTCTTCCTGCCCCAAGCACCACGTCCTACCGACCCAGCAGGTGCATCTGTGAGGGACACTGTACCTGCCATGAGGAAGCTTACAACATTCATCGCCTCCACTCACCATTTTTTTTTTTCCCTCAGGCCCTCCCTGCTGTCCTGGGACCCTGCTGCTGTCATGCACCCTGCTGCTGTCATGGACCTTCTGACCCCAGACCCACACACCCCTTTTTCTCCTCTCTAAAGAGATAGGTCACCACGAGGTGAGGTCTGATATAGCGGAGGTAGGCGTGGCTTAATAGTTGACCTCAGTCATGTAAGGCGGCGCTGGTTGCTGATCTTGACCACGAGGCATACACTGGGGAATTCGAGGGTCGGCTAGTCAGCGACAAACAGCGTTTGTACGGGAGGAATCCACTACAATACTCCCCCTTCCCTCCAGGCGGTGTAAGAGACTTGTTGTCTGCAGGGTTGCATCCCACATGTGAGGCAGAACAGGCGATGCAGGAGACTTGTTGTCGGCAGGGTTGTATGCCACATGTGAGACATAATGGCGAGGGCGTGAATGAGCCGGCCGCTACGGGAGACGACTGTCTAGATACACGAGATCTGTGGGAGAAGGAGGGTTGTGGAGGCGATGAATGTTGTGCTTCCCTCGCGGCAGGTACAGAATCCTCAGATGCGCCTGCTGGGGTGTGTGGGTCTGGGTCAGGAGCAGGGGCTGCATCAGGAAGAGGGTCTATGACAGCAGCAGGGTGCATGACAGCAGCAGGGTGCAGAACAGTAGCAGGGAGTACATGAGGGGAAAAAAAAGGGTGTGTGGGGCCGCCTCAGGCGCATGGGCCGCGTCGGGAGCAGGGGCTGCCAGGCAGGAGCGGAGGAGGGTTCGCGTCAGGAGCAGGGTCCAGGACAGTGGCAGGGGGTACTGCTGGGCCGGGGGCGGCGTCTGAGGCAGGATGGGTGTGTTGGGGTCGGTAGGACATGGTGCTTGGGGCAGGAAGAGGAGCGGCTGTCTGTTTAGAGTAGCAGAGCTGCTCTAGGGTGTCTAACCTGCGGTGTAGAGACAGTAGCTTGAAGACTGGGAGAGTGATCGGTTTCTCCTCCATCCTGTGTGAGTGCGAATCTCCGGGGGCCACCATATGTGGGGTATGTGATATTGGTTCACACTCAGGACGGGATGGAGAAAGGAAACTCACAATGTGCTCTCTGTAACCATATTGTATTGGATGTACAATGCAACTTGCTGCTGGGAAGGCAGCATGGCTACCAGCGTGGAGTAGAGAGAGCTGGTTGGTGAGGGTGCTGAGAGGAGGACTAGCTTGTGGGTCGCCAGATGGAGCAGGAGCGGAGGAGGAGGTGTTGCATGCTGGTGGCTGTAGGTAGAAAGAGATAGGTCACCACGAGGTGAGGTCTTATATAGCAGAGGTAGGCGTGGCTTAATAGTTGACCTCAGTCATGTAAGGCGGCGCTGGTTGCTGACCTAGACCACAGGCATACACTGGGGAATTCGAGGGTCGGCTAGTCAGCGACAAAC